CTGCCCGTCCTGCTGTGTTCCTCCAGCTCCACACTGTGTTATCTCTGACTCCAGCATCGGTAGTTCTTACTATCTCTGACTCCTGTATTTCTTTGTTTAGAAATACTTTCCAAATTGAAGGAAATTGTATTCATCCTTAATATTAAAATCATGCAAATTAAAATTAACATTACACACAGATTTTGAGTTATGTTGAAGTGCACTCTTACATTTGATGTTAAGGTACAATGACAGAAGAAATCATTGACAACAGACACAAAACAAAAATTAAAGTAACTGGTGTAATAAAAATCTGACGCCACTTAAAAAGTAAAAATAGACAGATTGGGAAGCAATTCTTCTCTCAAAGTGCAGTCAAACTTTGGAACTATTGCTGCCAAAAAGCTGGCTAAGGAGCGGGGTTGGGACAGCCACAGGGTAAACTAGGTGCTTGCCTTGGGCAGCATGATTTGGGGAGCTGCAAAAAAAAACTGCAAGCTTTTTAAATAAGTTTGAACTGAAACGCATAATTTTATACAACTTGGTTTCATTGTTGTTGTTTCCTGGGTCAAACACCAGTGCCATTGTGATATGATCTGACAGCTGCCCCGTAATTTAGCTCAGATTATGTATACCACAAAGATTGGGTTCTTATTGGGACAGATGTATTGAAGTTTATTCACAATATTTATTATTTACATAGCTGTAATATTATAAACACAGGTTATATATTACACAGGTTCTGTATTTTCTGATATTATTGCATATGATATACAGATAACAAATTGGCTGAACATACAACATTAACTCCATGACACAGAGGTAACTTGAGGTGAGGTAGGTACTGGGACATCACATATTTGAATGATGTGATGCTGTGTAACTCTTGAAGGTGCACTACATGCCTGGTCTGGAATCTATGCAATACCAAAACATCACAATTCACAACCTTGTCTGAGGGGAAAGAACCTGCAATTTCCATCATCTTCAGGCATTACCATATGGTGATATCACATCCAACGCAATGTCACCCAATCAAATTCAAACCTCTTTAAACATTCCATAAAAGCCAAGAGGACTGTGATTGGCTGGGATTCTGGTAGGTTGTGATGTGATTGATGGTGTTTGAATTTCATTGAGGGTTTGGGCAAGTGTTTTGCAATGGACGTGAGATGGGATTCAGATCAGTTTACTCCTCATTGGGTCAGGGTTTGTTTTTAAGATTTACTGCAAATGGTCTTGGACTATTTCGACTGTGACTAGAAGTTAAACAGCAGAGCTTTAACCAATAGCTGACTCATTGCCCGGGTGTGTCATGTTAATGATAAATTGACCATTAATAATTCACTTGTCAAGTGTGACTGGCTCTGAGAGTTAGTCCATTCAAAATAGGAAAACACATTATCACTTATGAAGCAATTCAACTGACCTCTGTGTGTGTGCAGTACACACACTACAGCGTACTAATAGATGGGTAGATTTGCCATATCGTACATTGGTAGGGGAGTGGGTCTGGTGGTTACATAGGCTACCAGAGCTGGAGTGGTGCAGGTGCTGACAAGGCCATAATGGTGTGTGGGCGTGGTTAGCTGCTGCCACAGCTGGTCCAAACTTTGACTCCCCCACCACCGACGCACCTGAGCAGGGAAGGTACGTATACACATTGGATAAACAAAAAAAAGCTATAGTGTACTCTGTACTATGGCACAGTGCTATTTTGAGAAGGTCAGACCATTGATATGCAAAACTGGGACATGACATATACAGTTAATGGTAGGACCCTGGGGAGTCTTGCTGAACAAAGAGACCTAGGGGTGTAGTAGGAGCATTGTTCCTTCAAAGTGGAGTTGCAGGTGGACAGGGTAGTGAAGAAAACATTTTGTATGCTTGCTTTCATTGGTCAGAGCATTTAGTGTATGAGTTGGGATGTCATCCAGCAGCTGTACAGGACATTGGTGAGGCCACTTTTGGAATACTGCATACAATTCCGATCACCTGTTTAGGCGGAATGATTTTGTTAAACTTGAGGGGGTGTAAAAAATATTTACAAGGATATTGCATGGACTGGGGGGTTTGAGTTACAGAGAGAGGTTGAAATAAGCGGGGGCTGGGCTCTTTTCCCTGGAGCGGTGGAGACTAAGGGGTGACCATATAGAGGTTTACAAAATCATGAGGGGCCTGGATAGGGTGAATAGCCAAGGTTGTTTCCTGGGGTGGGGGGAGAGGGGTCATGCAAAACTAGAGGGCATAGTTTTAAGGTGAGAGGGCAAAGATTTAAACAGGATCTGAGGGGTAGTTTTACCATGGGTGCTGCATCAATGGAATGAGCTGCCAGAGGAAATGGTGGAGGCAGGTACAATTACGACATTTAAAAGGCATCTGGACAGTATATGAATAGGAAGTGTTTAGAGAAATAAGGGCCAAATACTGGCAAATGGGATTAGATTAATTTAGGATATCTGGCCGGCATGGACGAGTTAGACTGAAGGGTCTGTTTCCGTGCTATATATCTCTATAACTCTATGTGGGACAAAGTCCTGGGTGAGCTCTGAACAATGAGAGCAAAAAGCATAATCACAGTCACTGATGTACTGCATGGAGGTAGGAGTTGTGAACGAACCTGATTGCAACAAAGAATGTTCCAAATATTCACCAAGTTACTGCAGATATTTCATTAACAGTCAACACTCCAGTCTCCATGGACTGTGCTGTGAGCAAACCAGGATAAAACTCGCAGAAACATCAACATGAAATAGTAACATGTTTCCTTGAACACTCCTGTGTAACTTAGTTATGAAACATGTTGAGGATTGTGTGAATCTAACTGAGGTGGGAACTGCTCTCCCTTTGGACAAAGCTGATGGACCCAGATGGGTTTCCCACAGCAACTTATTTTATTTGCTGAAGAAGAAATAGAAATCATGAAAATGATGGGGTACACTTCCAACAAGGGAAACAAATCGGCGTAAAAACACAAATAAATGAACGCACCAATAAAATAAATTGGCAGAAATGAAGCGTTTCTCCGGCGGTCGCTGACGGCGGAGGCAGGAACGTGAACACCGCGAATTCCGGAAGGCAGTTGACGTCACGTCCGGCGGTCTGTCCAATCCGGGAGCGGGTCCGTCAGTTTCAGGGACGGTCGTCGTGTCCCGCCGCCATGGAGACTATCCTGGAGCAGCAGCGCCGTTACCATGAGGAGAAGGAGCGGCTGATGGATGTGATGGTGAAGGAGATGATGGTGAAGAAATCCACGGTGAGCGGGGGAAAGGGGGAGGGGGGTGTGTTCAGGTTCCCGCCTCCCCCCCCCCCCCCCCGGGAGGCCGGGCCCTTCAGCCTCGCTGTAGGAAACCACCACCCCGGGGCCGTACACAGAAAAGTTCATAGTTTTTAATTCGGGCAACTGAGACCGTTAGACCGTGAAAAGTATCAGCGGAATAAGGCCATTCAACCCCTCGAATCCACCCCATCACTCAATGAACACAACAAAAGCTGGCGATCAGTGTGGGTCAGGCAGCATCCGCGGAGTGTGTGTGTGAGTGAGAGAGAGAGAGAGAGACAGCAAGCTAACGTTTCGTGTCCAGATGACTCCTCGATCACCAGCACTTGTTTTCAGTACTCCAGCATCTGCAGTAATCTGCTCCATCACTCTGTGAGATCGTCAGCTGACAGTCCATTTTCCAGCCTTACCCGATAAACCCCTTTTCTCGTGCTGATCAGAAATCTATCCAACCCGGCCTGAAATGGGTGTTGTAATGGAGGGGATCCAGGCCAAGTGCTTCAAAGAAATAAACAGGAATTGCTGGAGGAACTCAGCAGGTCTTGCAGCATCTGCGGAGAGAACCGAAAGAACTGCAGACCTGTAAATCAGGAACAAAAACAGAAGTTGCTGGAAAAGTTCAGCAGGTCTGGCAGCATCTGTGAAGAAAAAAGTCAGAGTTAATGTTTAGGGTCTGGTGACCCTTCCTCAGAATTGGAAGGGTCACCAGACTGAAACGTTAACTCTAGTTTTTTCTTCATAGATGCTGCCAGACCTGCTGAGCTTTTCCAGCGATTTATCTTTGTGGAGAGAAGTTCTGAAGAACAGTCACTGGACTCAAAGTTGTGACTATTTCTCTGTCTATCAATGCTGCGAGACCAACTGAGTTTTTCCAGCTTTTTTTTTCAGATTTTTAGCAGTTCTTTGTTTTATTCAGGTGTTTAAAATCTTTGGTTGATTGGTTGGACTCAGTGTCATTCCTGAATTCATGTCCCTATTGTCCAAGTTTTCATTTTTGGAATACGAGTTTGAAAATTTCCAAACCAACATGATCTTTATTGAGAATCTTCTCTGTAAAACATTGAACTACATTTGATCCAGGGCACATCCCAAACACAAAAGGAATGAAAATCCCACAGCATATGGAAATATGAAGCAAAACCAAACAGTGCTGGAGATGCACCACAGTTCTCTTTTGAACATAGAACATAGAACATTACAGCGCAGTACAGGCCCTTCGGCCCTCGATGTTGCGCCGACCTGTGAAACCAATCTGAAGCCCATCTATCCTAAACTATTCCATTATCATCCATTTTGAACTCACTATTTCATGTTTTAGTTGTGAATATTCTGACAATAGTACCATGCCTGAAATATGTTAAATTGTCTTAATTTTGCAGTAATATTAATTGATCTGCTGATTATTACCTCCATTTTCTGATTTCCCTTCACTACATTCAATGCTCATTGTAGGTTAAAGTTGGGTGTTGAAGCTACCATTGTTAACAGGCCCTTCAAACTCAAAGTAAGCTCTGGAGTGAATCTCTTGAAGTTGAGTTGGAAGTATCTGTGTACCCTGAGCCATCTTTAGAATATAGCCAGGACATCTGTCCACACAAGCATACACTTCAGTTATGGATTGCGCTGCCTGTGTCCAATGTTCAGTGAAGATTTTCTCTGGTCAGTTTTCTTAATGTTTTTCTGATGAAGCGAGAAATGTTTACCATTGTTCTAGGCTTCCTTTGTAGGTCTAACAAGTGGTGTAGGTGCTGATGGAAATCAGTTTTAATTAGTGAGACCACGATTAAACTTTCAAATAGTTTGGTTGTTTTAAAGCATATTAACTTTTAAAACTTGTTTTCCAGCTTCGGGACCAAATCAATTCCGATCATCGGGCCAGAGCAGTGCTTGATGTAAGTAAACTCATTGTAGCCTGGTGTTTGAGCTTGGTTGTGATTCTAGGACTACTTATATTTACTCTTGCTTGGATTAATATCTGTTGTTTAGATCAAATGTGTACATTAGTTGTGGCTCTGAATTGTGCATCAGATCTGTTAAATAGGCAGACGTTTATCCTATGTAATGATCTATATGGTAATTCAGATTGGCAATCAGTTTTCCTTTATCCTCAAACTGAATTCATTTTATCGTGCATTGATAATGCTGCAGTGTGGGGATATTGGGAGGCTGTTCAATTTTATTTTGTTTATAAATGTAGGTGTTGTTGGCTAGGCCAGTATTTATTTCCCTATCTGTATTTGCCCCTCAGAATGTGGTAGTGAGCTGCATTCTTTAACTGCTGCAATCTGTAATGAGTGTGTACACCCACACTGCTGTTAGAATGGCAGTTCTAGGATTTAAACCCAGCAACAATGAAGGAATGACAATATAGTTCCAAGTCAGGAAAATATACGACTTGGAGTCAAACTTGTAGGTGATGGTATTTCTATATATTTGCTGCCCTTGTTTTCCCAGGTGGTAGAGTTTGTGGGTTTGGAAGGTGCTGTTGAAGGATCAAGATTGAAGATATTCATGCACATTTACAATTGGATGTATTGATAATTATCAGGATCAGAAACTCAATGCCATGCTGTCTCAGTCCCGACCTTCTGTGCTGTTCTAGTGAAATCTGTTAACTCAGTGCAGACGTGGATTTAGGATAGGGCATTTGGGCTTGTTCAAAAAGTCAGTAGTGACTGATCTGTGATGTAAACAATTATAGCAATTAACCTTGCTGCAACTTGTGTTTGTGAGAGTTCCGAACCTTATCAACTGTTGTGTTTTAAAGTGTTTCCTAACTTTCATTTTGAAACACCTGGCTATAACTTTGGCTAGGTCCTAGCTTCAACTCAACCAGCAGAAACGAGCTTATCTCTGTCTACAAATGGGAATGGATTAATTTAGGATATCTGGTTGGCATGGACGAGTTGGACCGAAGCGTCTGTTTCCACTATGGTTCCTTTCAGTATGCTAAACGTTCTGATTAAGTGACCCTTAAACTTTTAAATTCCAGGAAGTACAACGCTGGTGGGTCTTCCTCATCGCTTAATTCTTGGAATTCTGCTCACTGCCAAACTCAAACATGCCTTAATGTAAACTTAGTTGTTCATAGAATCATAGCAAAGCATAGTTTTGAAGGTGGCTGTTCCAATCCCAGTGTCTGCGCATGTCACCATGTATTGTCATAGATACCATTTCACTGGCGTGGGTTAAGTTTCTGCCAGTCCCCACCTTTATGACAATATGACATCAAGAGGGGCAGTAGATAGGCAGCCCAGATCAGACTTTTAAGTCATTGAAATTGCATCCCAGGTTAGTAATTACAAAGCAACTGGAAATTCAAAATATAGGAGTGCTAGAGATTGAAGGAAGTTCTTGACACAGCTGAGGCGAGTGCCTCAGCGTACATGTACGAACAGAGGTAACCCGAGCAGTGGTAGCAGAAGGAAAGTTGCAAAACACATTAAGGAACAGTGCCAGAATGGGCTCACAGTTTATCCAAATCATTACCCTGGAACAACTAAAGATTTCAAAGGCAGTCCTGGATGGTGTGGCAGGTTTATGAAAAGAAACAATTTTTGTGACAAAAGACAATGATGTAATTTTAAAGAAAAGTTCAGTACTGGCAATACTGATAGCAAGGCAATGTGAGAGGATGGATTTCAAACTGCCAAATGTTACTTGTGTAAAAGTCAGTGCCTAAATTTTGGCAAAAAATTCACTCTTTTAAAAATTTCGCTTTTACACTAGAAAACCTTGAACCTATACATTCTTCTTGAACAAGGGTGTTCTGTTTGTAAAGTTCACTCAAATAATGTCCTCACCAAACAGCAAGTAAAAATCTTTCTCTTAAGAGATATTTTCTGGTAGAGCTGAATTATTCTGATTTGTGAACACCCAGTCTTCAATTCCAGTGCACTTTTGCTTTTGAGGTTGCTAAAGTTGTGAGACTGTTGCTGGAATGTCAATTGTTCTACAGTGATTGTTACAAGTTGTGCTGGAATGAACAGCAATTTTTGGTGTTATTTATCTGGAAGAACTTAGTCAAGTGAGTGTGGAATATTCTGCATTTTGAAGCTTGTAAATGCTGATTACTGTCTTCTGTTCACCTGTAGCAGTATTAAATGGATTAGGTTTTGAGATGCCTTAATTTATCTTCCAGAGGTACATGGAAGTGGCAGGAAATCTAAGAGACTTGTATGAAGATAAAGATAGGTATGTGTTGTTATTGATTTTATTTCAGATAGTAACAAGTTTTGTATTTACTGTCAAATATATGCAACTGAGCATTTTAGAACAATATAATGCTTAATGAAACGTGTAAAATGTCATATTGCATTTTAATTGCATGATGACAGGGTAACGAAGCAATTATAATTATGATGCTTCTTTCTTGTGAAGTTTTCACTGTGTTGCCACCTAATATCAAAAACCTATTCCTGTCCAGAAATACTCCTTGTACCTTAACCAGCAAGGGTGCTTCCACCTTCAGTAACATAACTCAGTTACAGCTTTTGAAAATGCAAACGCACTAAGATATTTTCTTATGATATTGATGAATATTCAGCATATATTCATCCTATAGCTGTCCTTTGACTGCATGTGTTTTCTGCTTGAGAACATTCGTTATCTTGAAGATTTATTTATTTTGTTGCTGCTATCTGTTTTGACTGTAACCTGTTGCCTAATGCAGTTCTTCACATTGTTATGGCTTTATTTTGCTGACAGTATGCGAAAGGATGAGTTAAATGCCATTTCAGGACCAAATGAATTCGGAGAATTCTACAATCGGCTGAAGATGATCAAAGAATTCCACAGAAAACACCCAAATGAGGTTGGTATCCCCACAGACATGAAGCATTGTATCCTGACACTTGTATGAAATGTCTGAATACAATTGCGACAAACAGCATGATACTTTTTTTTAATAATTCTTTCCACTTAAATGATTTCACCCATAGATTAAATTGCACACATTTGGGATATTTATTTAAATAATATGGAGACACAGACAGCATGTTGGATTTCGGAAAAGCTTGCTTACTGAGTTTTTCATGAACTGCCTGGAGATTTAAAAAAATTAATGTTTTTTGATTTCCTAATAGATTCCTAATTTCCTAAAGATCTCCTAATAGCTTACAATACTCATGGAAGTGGTGCATGTGAATTAGGAGCAGAAGTAAGCCTTTTAGCCTCTCAAACCTGCTCTGCCATTCAGTAAAATCATTGCTGATGTGTTTGTGTCTCGAATTGCAAATTTATCATGTACCGTGATAAACTTTTGATTCCCTTGTTCAACAATAATTTATCTGCCTCCACCTTAAAAGTATTCAATGGCCCTGCCCCCATTGCTTTCTGAGGCAGAAAGTTCCAATGTCTCTCAACCCTGACAGAAAAAAAAACTTCTCTTCATTTCTATCCTAAAAGGTTGCCCCCCTAATTTTTAAACCATGACCCCTAATTCTGGATTCACCCACAAGGAGAAACACCCTCTCCATGCCCAACTTGTTGAGATAGTTCAGGATCTTGTATACCTCAATCAAGTTACTCTCACTTTTCTAAGCTCTGGTGCAGACAAGCCCAGAAGATCTACGCACCCAAGGATGAATCTAATCAACCTGCTTGAACCACTTCCAACATATGTAAGTTCTTCCTTAAGTAAGACGATGAAAACTACGCAGTATTCAAAACATGATCAGACCAATGCCTTGTATAAGAGAAGCATACACCCTGACTTTTTTTTTCAGTTTCTACTGTACTAAAGGATAGCATTCCATTAACCTTCTTAATCACTTGCTGTAGCTACATACTCCTGTTTTGTGAATCTTGAGCTGGAATGTCTAGATTTCTCTTCAACTTGGTATCTACAGCTGCTTTCCATTGAAGTAATATTCTGCTTTTTTAAAATTCTTCCTGCTAAAGAGAAATCTTCACATTTTCCCACATAATTCATCTGCCTGGCTTTTGCCCATTCACTCAGCATATCTGCATCCTCCTTATGTCCTCGACACAACATGCTTTCTACCTACCTTTGTGTCATTAGCAGATTTAGCTACTATACTCCCCTCATCTAAATCATTGATATCAATCATAAAAAGCTAGAGTCTCAGTAATGTGGAATCTGCAAAACCTGTGTTCCAGTGTAAAACTAATACAGCAAACGTTTAATTAACTGGCACCCATGAGACCAGGAGTGTACCTGTTGATCAAACATTCCGGTTGATCAAGAGGTCCACATAGTCAATGTAAAAACACACCAAGTAATGTAATGTAAAAAACATAATGCAGAGGGCATACACATCACTGTTATACTTTATTTACAGCATAGATCATTTAAACAGTAATGGAACTTTGCATTTAAAAAAACTTACCAACAGAGAGCCTTCTCGCTCACACCCTCAACTGACTACTCTGAGGTCACGATAATACAGTAAACTTTGGGTATATAATTTCTGCCAGTTTATCAAGAGTGCTGTATCATAAGGTGCCGGTTAAAACAAAGTTTAACTGAATTTTTAATTAAGTGGTCCTACGTCCTGAATCTAAACATTTAAGTCTGATATAAACAAAATGCTTCCGCAATGGGAGATAATATGGTCATGTTTATTTCCTTATTGCTTTGCTCCTGCACTTGCCCCATAACCTACATGTCCTACAATTTGCAGTTCACTATTACTTACTGGTAGCTGGTAAATTGGATATGATCTAAAATAATTGAAACATTTCTGTTCTCTTTAAGGTTAATATTTATCATCTGGATATTTGAAGAAAGTTCAAATTAAACTGTTTTGAAGTGTCGTTCACTTTTGTCCTTTCTCCTCTTCTAGATAAGTATTCCGATGTCAGTAGAATTTGAGGAGTTAATGAAGACCAGGGATAATCCAAGTGAGGAGGCACAGAGTAAGTCTGCATAAATTTTTTAACCTTTTCTGCTTTTTCTGAAAAAAATGCACTGTTATTATCATTGGGTAACCTTAATTCAACAGCAGATCAAATTTGGAAATGTATTTGACCCAGTAGACTGTAACCAATCTGTTCTAAATGTACAGTTGCATTAAATGTATAATTACTAAATCAATAAGTGATACATAATATGTTATTAAAACCAAGCATAGCATTTCTATTGATTCAAGTTTGAAGGTTTTCTTCTAACTTATTATAATCTTTTTAATGTTTGTGTAAATGCTGGCAACTGCATTTAGTATTTATTGCTGCTACAACAACAAAAGATATGACGTAACCCTACTAAACAACCGCATTGACACATGCAAATGCCATGAGCACCTTCAGTTTCCAAATGACAGGTCATTTCTACAGGATGTATCTGGTCTCAGTTGAGATGCTGTAAAATATATTTATTAAGTTCGGATATCTTGGTTAATTATACCACACGTGAATATTACACAGTTTACTGAGTTGGGTGTGAATGCCTCTAATGTAAACTGTCAGTGGCATGAAAATGCATTTTAGCATTGGGATAATGTTTTCTTCTGTTCACAAGCAGTATTTTTTTGCATCATGATATCCCTCTGGCAACAAATAGATCTATTTGAGTTCTGTCAATATTCCACAACTGCTTTTATGTATTTCCGTTATGCCACTGACTAATACAATTTTCTCACTATTGGTCTTTGTCTTGAACCTCAGAAGATGGGAGAGATATTAAGTGAATATTTCATATCAGTTTTTACTGTGGAGAAAGAAATGGACGTTAGAGAACTCGGAAATAAATGTTGAAATTTTGAAAACAGTTCACATTACAGAAGAGGAAGAGCTAGAGGTTTTAGAAAAAGTAAAGTTAGATAAATCTCCGGGACCTGATCAAGTGTATCCCAGGATGTTGTGGGAAGTTAGGAAAAAGCGGGGCTCCCAGCAAAAATATTTGTATCGTCTGTAACCATGGGTAAGATTCTGGAGCACTGGCAGGTGGCTAATGTTGTGCCTTTATTTAAGAAAGGCTATAAGGGGAAGCCTGGGAACTATACACCTGTGAATCTGACATGAGTGTTGGTAAGTTGTTGGAGGTGATCCTGAAAGATAGGATTGATATGCATTTGGAGAGGCAAGGAATGTTTAAGGATAGTCAGCATGATTTTGTGTGAGGGAAATCCTATCTCACAAACTTGATTGAGTTTTTTGTGGAAGTAACCAAAAAGATTGAAGTGGGCAGAGCAGTAGATGTTGTTTGCTTGGACTTCTGTATAGCCTTTGGTAAGGTTCCGCATTGTAGCTTAATTAGTAATGTTAGATCACATGGAATTCAGGGTGAGCTTGCCAGTTGGATACACAATTGACTTTTATAGTAGGAGACAGAGAGTGGTGGTGGAGGCCTGTGACCAGAGGTGTTTCACATGGGTTGATACTGGGTCTGCTTTTGTTTGTATTTATGTAAGTGATTTGGATGAGAATATAAAAGGCATGGTTAGTAAGTTTGTGGATGACCTCAAAATTGGTGACATAGTGGACAGTGAAGAAAGTTAGCTAAGATTACAAAGAGATTTTGGTCAATTGAGTCAATGGGCTGAGGAGTGGCAGATGGAGTTTAATTTGGTTAAATGCAGGATATTTCCTTTTCGTAAAACAGACAAGGGCAGGACTTATAGAATTAATGGTAGGGCCCTTGGTAGTGTTGCAGAACAGAGAGACCTAGGGGTTCAGGCACATAATGCTTTGAAATTTGTGTCAGAGGTAGACAGGGTAGTTAAGAAAGCATTTAGCACGCTTGCCTTCATTCCTCAGATCTTTGAGTAAAGAGGTTGAGATGTCATGTTGAGGTTGTGCAAAATTTTGGTGATGCCCTTTCTGGACTACTGTGCGCAATTCTGGTTGCCCTGCTTTGGAAGGATATTATTAAACTGGAGAAGGTTCGGAAAAGATTTACTAGGATGTTGCTGGGAATGGAGAGTTTGAGTTATAAAAATGCGCTGGATAGGCTGGGGGCTTTTTCCACTGGAGCATAGGAGGTTGCGGGGTGACCGTAGAGGTTTATAAAATCATAAGAGGCATAGATAAGGTGAATTGCAGTGGTTATTTTTCCCTAAAGTGGTGGAGTTCAAAACTAGGCGGCAATTTTTGAAGATCAGAGGAGAAAGTTTTAAAAATGACTTAAGGGGCAACTTCTTACACAGAGTGGTTCATGTGTGGAATGAACTGCCAGAGGAAGTGGTGAATGCAGGTGCAGTTACAGCGTTTAAAAGACATTTGGATGAGTACATGAATAGGAAAAGTTTGGAGGGATATGGGCCAAACACAGGCAGGTGCGACCAATTTAGTTTGAGAACATGGTCAGCGTGGACTAATTGGACCAAAAGGTTTTTTTTCCATGCTGTATGACTGTATGATTCTATGACTTGCTCTGGCTTGTGATTGAAATACGTGCAGATGAAAATTAAATCCATTTGTTTCTTATAGATCTAGTGGAGTTCACAGATGAGGAAGGATATGGACGTTATCTCGACCTTCATGACTGTTATCTCAAATACATCAACCTGAAAGGTTCAGAGGTTAGTCACAATGCAAAGAAAGAAAGTTGGCTGTCTAGAAGTTCAGTAAAGCTAGGGACGATGCAGTGGTCTGAACATCTTGGAGCTCTTCCTTGTTTCTATAGTGGTGTAATCCTGCAATTCTCCAGCATGTTAATCACTAATGTTATAGAGAAAGATGCCAACTGAAAGTAAAGGTGTCCCAAAAACAGAAATGAGATAGATATTCAGCATTGCCAGTTCACATCCACCTGGTTGCTTTTCACTTCTAAAATGATTGGGAGGTGTCTGTAGTGTTAAGATAATGGAAAATGATAAATAATGCAAATGATTATCAATTGGATCCCTATTTATTATATTAAAGTACTCATTTTCTTCTAGACTTAATAACTATCACTTCACATAAATTATGTTAAATAGAGATATGGAATGATACTTTTGAACCAGCCATAGGTTGACTGATTCAATGGATTCATTTAAATTTGTTTGAATTTGTTTAGTGCATTTATTCTGTGGAGGTGTATCATTGTCCAAGACTACAATTTATACACCGTAATATATAAATTTGTGTAATGTTCCCTCTGGTGGCAGGTAGTCGCATGTCTGTGGATTATTTTGTTCAATGATGAAACATTAATTTTGACTAAAGTGCCTATTTGAAGTAATAAAGTATATTCGTATTGAAGTCAATGTCTCTCGTCTTTCGTTTGTGCGAAGATAAGACACAAGAGCTTATTATATCTGCAAAGATGAATTTTACTGGAATGTAAAGTGGTTGGGTAACGAACTAATCCAAATGTTATGACATTCTGCAGTGGTATGAAAATTTCAGTAAATAATGATGACAAGCCAATGTATTATTCCTGCAACTGGGCCATAGGTGTCTCTCCTTTTGAATTTTGATCAAAGCATGTGTGATCCTCCTGTCAATAATTAACTGAAAGAAATGCTTCTTGGGGTACAGCTGGCACCTCATGTACTGTTGGTTTGAAGACTAGTATTTGCACCATGAAATGGGCCATTTGGCCCATCGAGCCTGCTCTCCCATTCAGTATGGTCATGTTTGATCATCTATCTCAACACCATACTCCAGTTCACATTCCTTAATCATTTTAGTGTCTAGAAACTTTTCTATTCTAATTCTAGCTGTTTCTTGTCTGAATTTGTATATGGATTATAAAATTCCAGCGGATTTTACAACAAGTTTTTTGTTTTTACAGAAATGTGATTATATTACCTACTTGATTACATTTGACCAACTTTTTGATATTCCAAAAGAGAGAAAAAATGCAGAGTATAAACGGTAAGTGAAAATACTTTTCATGTGTATATTGGTCCCTTACTGTTCAGACTGAAAATGCCTTCTCGGTTGGCTGCTGCTCATCATTCTTGCTGTATGTCAAAAGCTGTTTTCAGCAAGCAATTTTAAATAACCAAGTTATTAATGGGTAACAATTTTAAGTACTTGGCTGTTAGAATCATTGGGTTTTCTTCTCCTGTAAGTCCAATTGTTTAATTTTAGATGGTTTTATCCTGACCTTGCAGACTGATGTAGTTACAACAGGGTTGTGCTTGCCATTTGAGTTAATACAGCTTTGCAGAAAAGTTATAAGTTAGTTAGCTCACACAAGTATTCTTGCATTCAAAAATTTAATTTTACTTTTAATTTCAAATGTTCTATCCTACATGTGAGTTAACTGTACAGAATTTTATCTGTTTTTAATTTGCCTCACCTGTTGAAAATTGACAGGGAGAAAAGTAATGAAGATGGGACTGTATGAAAAATATGTATAAAACCAACTACAAATTCAACTGATTATCTTAAATTTGTTATTAGTTAAACTGTGGTCTCTTGCAGCTACTATTTGTGGAACAATCATGCAACTGTGTTTCCTTCAAATTTTGCAAGCACAGGCTGGTTCATTGTAGTCTGTGTGCAACAAAATCTGTTCAAAAGATGCCCAGTAACAATTAAACAACTTTGTGTATGAATTTTAACGCCAGTGTGATGCCAGTTTTGTGAGCCATACATCATAGTGATTGGCTGATCAAATCCGATGGCTTGTCAATTTAGATGTTTGTTATATGCAAAATACAGATCATACTTCACCAGCCGGAGTGTGGACCCTTTTGGAATTTGCAACCCAAACACTGGACTCATGTTCCACTGAGAACAAAAATCTAAGTGATAGTTGTACTGAGTGTGTGCCCCCTTTGAGCTGATATATTAAACCACAAGTCCATCTGCTGTCTTGGGTGGAAATAAAAATACTGGTGGCACTATTTCAAAGAGAAGCAGAAGATAAATCCCTAGTGTCCTGGCTAATATTTATCACTCATAAAATAACACAAAAACCATTATCCTGTTGCCATCTATGGAAGCTTGCTGTGTACAATCTCTTTGTCACATTTCCTACATAATTCCAGTGATAATGCTTCAACAGTACTTGGTTGGATATAAAGTGATTAGAAGTGTCCTGAAGTCACAAATGGTGATAACCAAATGAGTGAACACTGTTACAATTATTTTAGGAAAAGGGTGATTAGGAGTAATATGAGATGCTGGAAAACACAGAATGGTATTTTATCACTGAAAATAAGAAGCTAATGGTGGATATATTTATTGAACTGGCCAGATAGCTAGTGGAGTGCCACAGTCATCAACGCTATGGTCTCAATTGTTTACAACCTTTTATTCATTTGAATGAAGGAATCATTCTAGTCAAATTTGCTGCCTATACAAATATTGGAAAAGCAAATCTTGAGGGCACACAAACTGGAAAGGGGTGCAGATAGGTAAATTGAGTGTGAAGAAATTTGGCAGATGGCACATAATATAGGAAAATACGAAGTTATCCACTTTGGTCAGGAGAATAGAAAAGTGGTGTATTACTTAAATAGATGCTGCAATACAAAAAATACTGGGTGTCTTTGTATATGAAACACGCAAAGTTAGTGTACCGCATGTAATTAGGAAGCCAAATGGAATGCCTTTGTTTTGCATGAAGGATGGAATAAAATTGAAGAAAGTGCTGGTTGGAGCACATCTGAAGGGCTCTTTATTTAGGAGAGATATACATGCTATGTCGGTAGTTCAGAGAAGCTTCATCAGGTTGATTCCTGGAATAAAAAGGTTGTCTTCTGAAGAAAGATTTGAGTAATTTGGGCCTGTGTTCGTTGGCATTCACAAGAATTGAAAAAAATATAACATCCAGAAGGCAGTAAACAGGGGAATAGATACTGTTCTCTGTGGCCAGAATTAAGAGTCCTGAAGGCATTCTTTTCAGGTTGATAACCATTACAGTGCGGTTCCACAGGGATCATTGCTGAGACCACAACTTTTTACAATACATATTAATGACTCGGTGGAAGAAAGTAAATGTGCTGTAACCAAATTTGCAGATGACACAAAAATAGGTGGAAAGGCAGTTTGCAAGAGGGATACAAACAGTTTACAGAGAAATATTGATAAGTTAATTAAGTGGGCATTAGTTGGCATATAGATCATAATGTGGAAAAATATGAAATTGCTAATTTTGGAAGGGAGAACAAAGGAATATTATTTAAATGGAGAAAAAACTAAATAAGCTGCAACACAAAGGGACTGGGGGGAACTTGTATATGAAACACAGGAGGCTAGCACACAGGTGCAGCAGGTTATCAGGAAGATTAATGGCATGTTGGCCTTTATTTCAAGGGATTTGGAGTAAGAGTAGAGAAGTCTTACTGCAACTGTACAAGTTACTGGTGAATCCACATCTGGAGTACTGTGTACAATTTTGGTCCCCTTATTTAAAGAAAAATATCATTTCATTGGAGGCAGTTCAGAGAAAGTTCACTAGGATAATCCTTAGTATGCAGGGATTGTCTTGAGAGCAAAGGCTAAAGAGGTTGCGACTCTACTCACTGGAGTTTAGAAAGAATGAGAGGTGATCAGATTGAAACATATAGGATTCTTAGGGGTTTGACAGGGTAAATGCTGAGGGGATGTTTTCCCTCATGGGAGAGTCTAGTGTACGGTATCAGTTCGAAGGGGCACCAACTTAAGACTGAGATGAGGAATTTCTTCTCTGAGTGTTGAGAGTCATTAGCCTCAGAGAGCTATGAGGGCAGTGTCCTGTGTATATTTAAGGCTGAGATAGATTCTTGATCAGCAAGAGAATCGAGGGTTGTTGGGGAAACGCTGGAAAATGGACGCAAGGAATGTCAGATCAGTCACGATTCTGTTGAATGGCCGATTATGCTTAAGTGGCCGAATAGTCTACTCCTGTTCTTTTGGTCCTACAGACTTGGTTGAGGATATTTGCCCTGAAGGAAGAATCACAAACTAGGATTTGTAGCTGAGAATAAGAAACTCATCCATTTAAGACGGGGATGAAGAGAAGATTCTTCCATGTCATAGATCTCTTAAAATGAATTACCTAGAGAGCTGTGGAGGCTGGGACATAATAAATATTGTAAACTGAGCCAGTTTCTTGGACTATGGAGCAAACAAGAATTAGGGGATCAAGTGGAAAACTGGAGTTAAGGCCAAGAACATGAAAATAATAGTCTAATTAAATGATGGTACAGGCTGTGAGACTGTATGGCCAACTGCTGCTACTTTTTACATTATATCAATGCAGTTGTGAAATTTAAAATTTGAATAATTTATCTGGTAGTGATGTTGAATTTTGATATATTTCTGTTTTCACTTGGCTTAATTAGTCTAATTTTTGCACTAAAATTTTATTTATTTTGAATGTGAACACCAATTTGCCGCTTTGTCATTGTTTCATGTGTTCTGCAAATAGTTTGCAGTTTCTCAGCTATCAAGTCACATGGTAATGCAGAAAATGAGAGATAAAACTGGAGTGAGCACAATTTATGAAAGGTTTCTAATTAAGAAAGTCTTTGAAAAAAAACTAAAATACCCATGGATGGATTAAAGAAAAATGTTATGTATTCAGGAGAAACTACCGCAAAAATGAAATCCAAGGGCTACAACTTCTCATTTCACATCATTTAGGCTTTTGAGTCACAAATACATTTTTTTTGTCAATGCTTTGGTTTGCTTTAACTGGGTCAAATGTGAATCACTACCTTTTTCACTATTTACTATGGAGTTATTGTTCTTGAAAGTGCATGACTGGAAAGTTAAATTCCTCTGGATATTTTGATTCCTCTAGGTATCTGGAAATGTTGTTGGACTACCTCCAGGATTATACTGACCGTGTGAAGCCTTTATTGGATCAGAATGAGCTCTTTGGAAAAATACAAATTGACTTTGAGAAAAAATGGGAAAACGGCACCTTTCCTGGCTGGCCAGTATGTAATGTGTTAATTATTCTAGTGTAATAATATATTGGAGTAAACATGTTTGTCAAAATAAACTAACTAACTTCTTGACCACCATAACTTTGGAATATTTATATTCAGCGGCTCTTTCACTTGGTTTGGCCTCTCTCCTTCTCCTCCTATTCCAAAATTATAGAGTGATTTTCAATATTCCTAGACCATTGTGAAGCCAATCTCTACCAATCTTTTGCATCTGACAGTTAAAACTACAGAAAAGCACCACTCTACTGCTTATATAAGATAACAAGGTATAGAGCTGGATGAACACAGCAGGCCAAGCAGCATCAGAGGAGCAGGAAAGCTGATGTTTCAGGTCTTGACCCTTCTTTTGTTCATCCAGCTCTACACCTTGTTATCTCAGATTCTCCAGCATCTGCAGTTCCTAATACCTCACTCTACTGCTTAGTATTTGCAATTTTGTTTGTTTAACAAAGGTGGTAGCATACAAGAAAACATATTTCTTTCTTGTACATTCTGTACACTACATTATGTCTATTTTGTGTTCTGAGTGGGAGTTGTTAAGATGCTGAGGGCCAAATATTCCATTTTTAGGTCGAGGTGGGGCACGATATAAGAAAATAGTAGAATCAAATAAAATAGTTATAAAAAGATCCGGTTCTAGGAGCATTATAGAATTGCTAGAAAGAGTTTTGAATTGATACTGAGGTTTTTTTTAACAGTAGAATTTCTCTTTGTACCTTTTCTTCTTCTCACTTTGTTTTTCTCTTTATTTTTCTCTTCTCTCTTTTTCTTTCTCCCAAGTTCAGGGTGCTCTCCAGCCCCTAGGATATAACCAAGACAGCACTATCTGTTGTCTGTTGTACTCCACAAAGGTCTCAGGGGAATTATAGTGTGAACGTTCACTAAGAGCATCTCATTGAGTTTCTAACCACAAAATCAGCAAGATAAATATGGCAAGCAGGGGATTATGATTTTATTTATTGTTGAGACATGTACCAAGATACAGTGAAAAGTATTGTATTGCATGCTAACCAGACAAATCATACCTTACATAAGAACATCAGGGTAATAGAACAGAATGCAGAATATCGTGTTACAGCTACACAGAAGGTGCAGAGAAAAATCAACTCTTGTATATTAGAGGTCTGTTCAGAAGTCTGATAACGGCAAGGAAGAAGCTGTTCTTTAATCTGTTGGTATGTGTTTCCAACTTTTGCCCAATGGAGTGGTAACATCACTGGACTAAGTAATCCTGAGCCCTATGTTAATATCCTGGTGACGTGCGTTCAGGTTCCATCATGGTAGAGGGTGACATTTGAATTTGGTAAAAATCAAAAGTAAAAAGCTGCCCAGTGGCATCCCTATAATCACTAGATTGTCATAAAAATCCATCTGCTTTACTAATGTCCTAAGGGAAAGAAATCTGCTTTTACTTTAGCCTAGAAACAGATGTTAGTAATGTGACAAATCACTAGACTGTATATAATGAAGTAGTGGCCTTTATATAATGAGGAGGAAGAAAAGTTAAAACTTCACCCAGATCTGAATGATTCGCATACGAGGAACCCTGGAATTTCAGCAGTTAATGATGAGACTGCTCAAAACGTTTTCACACAATTGAACACTGGACTATAATGCAGATTAAAAGCATTTTCTACTCTATAACTTAAATGTGATTCTGAGTGTAGCTATCGTGTCAAACCTCTGCGCTGTGAAGAGATTACTTGATTGGGGTAAGCGTAAATCTGGTGGTTTGAGCTATGTCACCAAATCTCAAAATATTGCATGAAATAGTATGTCCATGTTGATAATACTTATATGTGAATTATTTATTTTGACTGAATTAATATAATTGTCATTTCTCTTGACAGAAAGAAACAAGCAGCGCCCTGACTCATGCTGGAGCTCATTTAGATCTGTCAGCTTTCTCATCCTGGGAAGTAGGTTGTCCTTTTACTTGTTTATTATTTTAATTCTCTCTGGTTTATTTTTAACCTTATGGTGATCATTATTCAAAATTTCTCAAAGTTAAATGTTCTGTGTCCTTAAATGCTTTTTTAAATGGTATTTCATTATGTTTGTAAGTGAAAATGTTTTACAACTATGTATTTTTAAAATGGCTGTATTTAATGTACATACATAATAGTTTGATAACTTTAAACTCTCTTATTTTCACAATATCAAGTAAAGAAAGGGACATGGAAAATATACTCTCTCTATTCTTCAAGTTTTTTAGTCTCTAGTATTTGTGTGAGTCTGTGGTGATTTCAGTTTGTCACATGCAAGTTTTTAAATTAATACACTGGTGAGATTCTGAATCACTTTTGCTCTAAAATCACCTTTGGCCAAATCAGTGTAGAGAGTGGACTAGATTTCAGTGGGGTTCAGATGATGTAAATTCTGGTCCATTGTGTCATTGTGGGAATAAAGCTCAGGAAGTGCTATATTATTGACACTTTTGTGCTATAATCACACTTCACTTCGTGACTCTCACCATGGTAAACATTCTGTCTTGTCCCCTCAACCTATTTTGTAGTGTCAAGTAGCAGTCCTTGACATGTCATGTAACTGATAATGTCAATAGGTGTCTAATGGTGGCTCTGAAAAGACTCGTACTGGACTCGAAATGTTCACTGTTTTTCTCTTCACAGATGCTGCCAGACTTGCTGAATTTCTCCTGCATTCTCTTTGTTTGTTGTATATTGGTGTGTTTGGATGGAGAGAATGGGCAGGGATGAGGCAAACCCTCTGATTTTTAAAATGCCGTGTTGGGGAGTGAAAAGTTTTACTACTCCCACTCCTTTATCAACAATAAAAATTGTGCTATTTCATTGTGGGCACCCTATGTATCCAATACCTTGTTGCCAATTTTCATATGATGATAAACAGTGAACTCTTCTCACTGTCAACCCCAATCTTCATCTTGCCCAGTGTTTGCAAGCATAATGTAATGATGACTGAATAATAGTCAAGTCCCTCAGACTGGTCAAGAAAGTAAAAGCTGTATGGGATTCATGGTAGAGGATCCAAGATCAGCCAAGAGGCATCAAGGAGAGGGTGGCGGTAGAGGGATATTTCTGTGACTGGAAATCTGTTTCCAGTCAGGTTCTGCAGGGCTCTGTGCTGGAGACCCTTGCTAATTTTGAGTTTATAAAAAAATTCATTCATGGGATGTGGCATTGCTGTCTGGGCCAACATTTATTGCCCATCCCTAGCTGTCCTTGAAAAGGTGGTGCTAAGATGCTGCCTTGAACCACTGAAGTCTATGGTACTATAGGTAAACTCACAATGCCATTAGAGAGGGAATTCCAGGAATTTGACCCAGTGACACTGAAGGAACAGCGGTATATTTCCAAGTCAGGATGATGAGTGACTTGGAGGGGCAATGCAGTTCCCGTATATCTGGTGCCCTTGTCTTTCTCGATGAAATTGGTCATGGCTTTGGAAGGTAAACATTAATGATTTAGGCATGTATAGGGAGCATGATCAAGACAGTTGTTAATGACACAAAACTTGGTGGAGTGGTACATAGTGAGGAGAATAGCCTTCAATAGCAGGTGGGTATCAATGGACTGGTCAGCTGAACAAAACAGTGACAAATAGAATTCAGCATGGGGAAATAGAGTTAATGCACTTGGGAGGGCTAACAAATCAAGGGATTACACTATGAATCTTAGGACTCTGGAAAGTTCTGAAGATCAACGGGCCTTGATGATCAAATCCATAGATCTCAGAAGGTGGTAGATAAAATGGTTGTGTAGGTATATGGAATACTTGCCTCTTTTAGGTGAGGTATGAAAAATAAGAGCAACGATGTTATGTTGGGACTGTATAAAACAGTAGTTAGACCACAACTGGAATGCTGTGTGCAGATCTAGTCACTACACTATGGGAAAGATGTGATTCCATTAGATAAGGTAAAGTTGATTTGTTCCCAGAGGACCATAGGGCTGCACTCTCATTAGAGAGAGACAACTGGTGGTGGTTTCACCTGAGAGTCATCACAACCAATTTCATCTAGAAAGACGAGGGCACCAGATATACTGGAACACCACTACCTCCAAGTCACTCATCATCCTGACTTGGAAATATACTGCTGTTCCTTCAGTGTTACTGGGTCAAAATCCTGGAATTCCTTCCCCCGCTATTGGCATTGTTAGTTTACCTACAGTATCATGGACTTCAGTGGTTCAGGGCGGCATCTTAGCACTAACTTATGAAAGGGAAGGGAGTGAAAAGGAAAGTCTTTCATGGCGACCTCAGCTGGAATTTAACCAATGCACTGCATTCTGCACCACAAACCAACCATCCAGCTAAGTCAACTAACTGAACCCCCCCACACCCCCCACCCTCCATTCTTCTAGAGAAGGTGCAGAAGACATTTACCAGGTTGCTGCCTGAATGGAAGGTCTGAGAGATGAGGAAAATTGGATAGGCTGGAGTTGTTTTCTTTGGAGCAGTGATGGTTAAGAGGGGACTTGATAGAGCCGTGTAAGTTTGAGGGGCATAGACAGGGTGGATTGACAGGCAGTTTATCCATTAGATGGTTCAGTAACCAGGGGACATAGTTTTCTACCTGTTACATTAAATCTAAGAGGATAGTTGAGAACATAGTTTTTTTTTTTTCACTGAGAGTGGGAGTCAGAAACACACTGCTTGAAAGGGTGGTTGAGTCAGAAACTCGCATAACATTTAAGCAGTATTTAGGTATTTGTTTTAATTGCCACAGTCTCCTTGTCTTTAGGTCAAGAACTGAAAAATAGAACTAGTGAAGTTGGATCTTTGTAGACCAGCATGGATACAATGAACTGAGTGGACCCCCTGTTCTATAAAGATCTATAAGCCTGTGAGGGGTACACAAGAACACAAGAACTAGGAGCAGGAGTAGGCGTCTGGCCCTTCGAGCCTGCTCCGCCATTCAATAAGATCATGACTGATCCTTTCGTGGACTCAGATCCACTTACCTGCGTTCTCACCATATCCCTTAATTCCTTTATTGTTCAAAAAATATATTTTTTTTTTTTTTTTAGAAGTGTTTACTGAAGTAGCATCAACTACTTCACTGGGCAAGGAATTCCATAGATTAACAACCCTCTGGGTGAAGAAATTCCTTCTCAGTTCAGTCCTAAATCTGCTCCCTCTAATCTTGAGGCTATGCCCTCTTGTCCTAGCTTCACCTGCTAGTGGAAACATCCTCTCTACTTCTATCTTATCTATTCCCTTCATAATTTTATATGTTTCTATAAGATCCCCCCTCAATCTTCTGAATTCCAATGAATATAATCCCAATCTACTCAGTCTCTCCTCATAAGCCAACCCCGTCAACTCCGGAATCAACCTAGTTGAACCTCCTTTGCATCCCCTCCAGTGCCAGTACATCCTTTCTCAAGTAAGGAGACCAAAACTGCACACAGTACTCTAGGTGTGGCCTCACCAGCACCTTGTACAGCTGCAACATAACCTCTCTGCTTTTTATTTCAATCCCTTTAGCAATGAAGGACAAAATCCCATTTGCCTTCCTAATTACTTGTTGTACCTGCAGACCTACCTTCTGTGATTCATGCACAAGGACACCCAGGTCCCTCTGCATAGCAGCATGCTGCAACTTTTTACCATTCAAGTAATAATCCTTTTTACTATTACTCCTACCAAAATGTATGACTTCACATTTATTTACATTGTATTCCATCTGCCAGACCTTTGCCCACTCACTCAATGTATCTATGTTCCTCTGCAAAGTTTCACAGTCCTCTGCACACTTTGCTTTGCCACTCATCTTAGTGTCATCTGCAAACTTTGACACCCTACACGTGGTCCCCAGCTCCAAGTCATCTATAGGATGTGTGTAGGAGCACAGACTGTTAGGAGCATGGATTTTGTCAGGACAACAGGGGCATGCCCAATGGTCAGAGAGCCAGTGGGGAACTTGCATCAGTTCTATATGGGATAGCAAGTTGTAGAGCTAGATGAACACAGCAGGCCAAGCAGCATCAGAGGAGCAGGAAAGCTGACGTTTCGGTTCTAGACCCTTCTTCAGAAATACTATGTGGGAGGCCTTAAGGAATCAGGTGTCCTTGCAGACTTAAGTGGCCACCATTGGGCATTCCCTATGCTTGAGGTTTCTGGTTGCAGAAGTGCCACGTGCAGTGTACCGGTCACTAGCAGGAGCAGTGGCTACCAGTGGCACTGTACCCACTCGGGTTCCAAGAACGTCATTGGACCCTGGGCCAGTGGTGATTGGGGTAGGACATGAGCCTCAGCATGGGGGACATGGAGGTCAAAGGCAAAGGTAAGGGATTGGTATTCATCAGCCCCACGATCCAAAACAAAGTGGCCAAGGGAGCTGTTGGGAGGCAACCAGCCATGCATTTCCCAATGAATCTTCATGGCGCTGTAGGTTTCAGTGGGCTGAGACGATGGACGTTGTTTTGTTCACCAATGAACCTAAATTATGTCTTGACACTGGTAGTTGGGTATCCCATGTCTCTGCTTCCATGCTTCGACTTAGTGAGGATAGGTTTCCTGCCATTGGGAGTTCTGTTGATTAAGTGAATCTGGCTGCTGTGAGTTCCACTGCGAGACTCTGCATCAACTCCATCCCTCGGTGTACTGATTGTGACTCTGATTTGATGACTGTGTTTGATTTATCATTTGTTTACGTCCCTTTTTCATTTTGATACAATTATAAAACAGTTTTATGAGAGTCCTATTTGCGATTGTATGTACTGAGCAGTTCTGTTTGTTTTTGAATACATAGAGCATTTATATAGTAAAAAATATTTTTTGAATCAACAGGAATTGGCTTCCTTGGGGTTGGACAGACTGAAATCTGCCTTAATGGCTTTGGGTCTGAAATGTGGTGGGTAAGTGTTCAGCTTATTAACAAATTACATGATTAAACACTATGGAGTAAAAATTCATCACAGGTAGTGGCACAAAACAAGTGGCATTGGTTCATCTGCCTGCTGGAAACAGCACTGGAGTTTTAATTCCATTGCTGTCGCTGTTTTACCCCACTACCCAAGACCAATATCTTCCCCATAACTGAATTTCAAAAGTTTTTTTCTTTAGAATAGTTTTTAACTTGTTTTTAGAAGGTTGGAAGATTTTTCCTGGGTTTGAAATTGGTGTTTGAAAAAGAATATAAATTTAATTTGTAAATTTGCACTTTAATTGTAAATGTTTGGAAACCACTCTGCAAAAGTGTTTAATTTCTAACTATTAAAATGTGGAATAATGTGAAAATATGAGCAGTTGATGTAAACTGATGTTCTGAAATTCACTGTCTGTAGGTTTGTAATAGTTAGGCTCTAAAATTAATGGGCTGCTGATTTTAAGTGCAGTTTGAAGGCTTTGAATATGTTTTATTAATGTTCTCTTCATTAACAGTGAAATGCATTTTTTTCTTGTTTTTTTCAGAACCTTAGAAGAGAGAGCCCAGAGGTTGTTCAGTACTAAAGGGAAGTCTCTGGAGGCACTGGACCCTTCACTATTTGCGAAGTCTAAATCTAAAGGCACTAAGAAGTCAGTAGAAAACAAAATTGTGTATTTGACCTGTGATGTATCAGGTAGACTATGTCCAGTTTTGCAGGAGACCCATTCTTCCAGTTTTCCTTCTCTATCAATCCAGCAGAACTCTCTTCACAAAATTTAAAAAAAAAAAAAAACCTGTACATCTTGCTGTAACTTATTCCCCTTCTCTTCATCTGAAGTTACTGGGGTTGAGTTCCATTGCTGTAATTCTGTATGGTACCTTGTCCATATATCTATCCATCCTTCATGTATTGGCTGAAGCAACGCATGTCAGTTCAGAACTGAGGTCTGAAGAAGGGTCACTGGACCCAAAGCATTGACTCTGCTTTCTCAAGGCAAATGGAATGTTTGCCTTTATTTCAAAGGGAGTGGAATATTAAAATTGGGAGCCTTGCAAAACTATATAAGGAATTAGTCAGACCACAGCTGAAATACTATGAACAGTTTCGTTGCCTTTATCTAAAGCAATATATATGGCATTGGAGGCAGTCCAAAGAAGATTCACTAGGTTCATTCCAGGTGTGGAGAGATTTTCCTTTGAGGAAAGGTAGAAAAGGATAGGTTTGCACTCATTGGAATTTAGGGCAATGAGCGGCAACCTTATTGAAACATTCAAGATTCTTGGGGAGCTTGATAGTGTAGACACAAAGTTGTTTCCCTCTGTGGGAGAGTCTCGGACCAAAGGTCATAACCTCAGAGGAAGGGGTTGCCTATTTAAGACAGAGGTAAGGATTTTTTTTCTCTGTCCAGAACATAGTCAATCTGTGGAATTCTTTACTGCAGAGGGCTGTTGAGGCTAGGTTGTTAAGTATTTTCAGGTTGAGCTGGATAGCTTTTATCTAGTCTGGGAATTGAAGGCTTATAGGGATAAGGCAGGAAAGTGGAGTTTAAGATTTTCAGAACAGCTACAATCTCGTTAAGTGGCAAGCAGACTTGATGGACTGAATAGCTTACTTCTCCTCCTTAAGATCTTGTATGTTCTGCAGCATGAAAGACGAAAGGTGATACCTCTCTGTATTGAATTGATATATTTTAAATTGCTGTCAACACAGGTAATTATTTTTTATTCCACTACCACTACAGGGACTCAGAACGCAACAAAGAAATTGCTTTTCTTGAAGCTCAAGTGTACGAATACATAGAAATTCTTGGGGTGAGTTTTCTGAGATTGTTGCTTTTCGGTTGACCGTTTGATTAGTGGGGCATATAATTTACTATGGCCATTGTTTAAAACTAAAGTTGATCACTTGTTTAGTTTTGTCTGAACTGATACTGGCTTTTATTCCAGGAGGCCAGTAGAGTATTATTTTGGTATATCTTGTGTAAAAGATTTAATTTAGCGTACTAATGGAACAACCAGATCGTATGAATTGTAGCAAAAGGATCTAATATCACCACAATTGTTGCACTGAAGTGTAGCACTTGTATTTCAGGAATGTGCTGCGCTTGGACTGACATTCCTTAGTATGCACATTTTATGTTACAGTTGCATTTAGTGAATTAAATATCATATTCATAAAAGGCAATAAATGTGAACTCTGAATGACCTGTAAACAAAATCTGTCAAATTTTTAAAAAACACAATGATTTAATGAGTGAAGCTGCATAAAATGTTTTAGCAAGAAGCTGTATTATTCTAAAGCATAGTAAGTTTTTAGATGATACTTTTCCAAGAGACATTAGTCTGTCAGCTAAACAGAGTTGCCAGCATTGCCTGTACCTGCATTTCTTTGGTTCCTGCAAGGGAAAGAGCATCGGTATGTTCATTGGCATTAACACAATGTAACTTTTAGGAGGCTGTTCTTTTGTTAAGATTTATGGTCTTGTTTTTCCAAATGATTTGAAAACAAGCCAGAATATAAATTTTAAATTAAGGTAAAATTTCACGAGAAAATTGTTATCAAGTACTTTTTTTTTAAACTCGGGGACACAGTACAAGTGGAACAATTGGGCATGAATATATTTGCATTGCAAATTTAAAAACAAGTTTGTTAAATTTTCTCCATCCAACATTGAGGCTTGTATTTTGTTTGCCTTTAACAGTAGTTGAGCTTGTTATTCCCAAATTATTTGAAACCAGGCTCAAATGACATCTGGTGGATTCTGGGGTGGTATGAACGTAAACTACATTTTTACTTTGGAACAAGATAGAATGCAAAGAGGAGCCCGAAGTAGCAGGAGATAATTATAGCAGCTTTATTTTGCTTGAGAATTTGAAAATGATGATTAAAGTAAAAAGATTTGACTGATGCAACAATGCTAACAATTGTTTTGAATTATAATGGGCAAAAATGTTCTCTAACACAAAAAGATAACAATTTTAATTTCCTCTATTGGCTTCTGATGAATATTCAACTGGAAAGCATTTGACTCTCAATGGCTCAGCACTGGTTTTTGCAAGTGATTTTTCCAAGCTTTTAACACTGGTCATTCTTAACTTAACCCACAAAGCAGTGTAATGTTTGACTTTCCATAAGTAACGCCAGAGGGAGGTTACAAGGAATTTATTAAAACAGCATTTCACACAATCTTGCTGATACTAAACAATTTTTTAAGATGCTTCTAATATATGTTTTTAACCTAAGCCTGAAATTGCCAAGCACATTTCAACTTGCAAAATTCGCTGACCAAATGACAATTCACCTCTCTCCAATTGACTGTTTGACATTGTGACCTCAAAGAGGGAAGTCTTCACCTGAACAGAATTATTGTGGATTATGTAGATTAATATTCTTGCCCTTATCAAACCACACATTCACATTGCTGTAGTACTGTGTGCAATTCACTAGTATATGATACAAGTTGAATTACATTACACAGATGTTATTTACAATCATTTGTTCTCAATAGTAACAGTCCTCTTGCATTATATTTATACTTTTGCAAACTAACTCTTATGTATTCCATAAATAATCCTTAAAACCTGTTAGTGGATAATTCTACACAGTCAGCTGTAGTTTATTCATCAGTTGAAATCTGCACATAGTTAGCTCATTGTTGCTATAATATCTGAGAATTCGGACACATGATCATTGCTGTACTTCAGTGAGTGTTTTTTTTTTGTTCTATAAAAGGTGGCTGGTGATGTGGGACTTGTGCAGCTCTAAGACAGAATTATTGGAGGGCAAGACGTCATAACTCAAAAATTGAATGGGTGGCGTTTTTTGAAGATGCTACTAACAAAATTAGTAAAGGAGAGCCGATAGACCTGTATGCTTAGATTTTCAAAAGGCTTTTGATAAAGAAAGGTTAAAGCACATAGGATAAGAGGTAATGTACTGGCATGGATTAATGATTGGTGAACAAATGGAAAACCAAGATAAGGAATAAATGGGTCATTCTCACGTTGGCAGATTGGGACTAGTGGCATACTGCAAGGATCACTGTGGCTCTTTGAGTGTTCATTTTTTTTTAATCCACTTGACAGGAACAGAGACAGCTCACCAGAGAAAACGTACAACGCAAACAAGCTCGGACTGGTGAGGAACGAGAGGAGGAGGAAGAGGAGCATGTCAGTGAGAGTGAAAGTGAAGATGAGGAAAATGAAATAATCTATAATCCCAAGAATCTGCCATTGGGTTGGGATGGCAAGGTGAGTTCAAAGAAAAATGGTCAAAGATCATACTTCCATTCTCTGGTAATTTTAATTGATGATTAAATAATAAGCCAATAGAGTGTTGTATGATCTGAGTTTTAATTTTGACTGCTGAGGTTCCAGTGAATCCCATTTTAATCCGCATTCTTAATAATCCATGTTCTGCTGTCTTTTTATCTCTCCATATACTTTCATGATTCTAATCAAAACATATTTGTGAGATTTGATAAATGGCACTGTGTCAAATCTATATCCCAAAATGTTAAGCATTACATAAAGGAAAGAGAGTGAATTGCTGTGTAAATACGCAGAGCCATAATATATTTTATATTTCATAATAGGACCTGATCATTGATCAGTGAGGAGTCTTCCTCACCCTCGAAATTGAGTACTGTGCACAACAAAGTAATTGTGCTGTAAGTGCAGTACCTTCCAAGGTTTTAAAAAAAAAAAGTAAATTTAAGGTTTTGTCAAAAAAAAATGCTAAAGGCCAGGTATTGCATTCCTCAAAATGATAAACACTGGAGTCTGAATACCAGAATATCTGAGGCTGAGTCCTAGAGGTAAGAATATGAGAACAGGAGTAGACATTCAGCTTTTGAACCATTTCTACAATTTAATGAGATCATTGCTGAAATGTGGCCTAACTCCATACATCTGCCTTTGACCCATGTCCCTTAGTACCTTTGCTAAATAAACTCTTAGTTACCTCAGATTTAAAATTAACAACTGATCTCGCATCCACTGCCATTTGCAAAAATTAGTTCCAGACATCTTCCACCCTTTATGTGGGGAAGTGCTTCCTAACCTCCCTACTGAATGGTCTAGGCCTAATTCTCAGACTATGCCCCCTAGTTCTAGAAATCCAACCAATGGAAATAATTTATCTTTATGTACTGTCTTTTCTTGATAGTATCTTGAAGACTTGGATCAGATCATCCCTTGACCATCTAAATTCTAGAGAAAACAGGCCTGATTTGAACAGTCTCTCCTTGTAACTTAGCCCCTGAAGTCCAGGTATCATTGTTGTAAAAATACATTGTACTCCCTCCAGGCTAGTATACCCTTCCTAAGGTGTGGTATCTAGATTTTCTTTCGGTACTCCAAGTGGGGTTTACCAGGGTTTTCTATAATTGCAGCATAATTTCTGCATCTTTGTCTTCTAGTCTTCTAGAAATAGAGTTCCTTAAAGGTCGCATGAAACCATCTTTTTTTTTCAATAGTTTGAAAGCTTAGTTTTGTCACTATATTGTGACGTATCTAATACAATTAAATATCAAAAACTAGTAGCTTCGCTTATGTCTAGGCTGGAGTTTAGTTAGTAACGAGAGTTTTGTAATAGTTTGATTTTGGAGCAGGTTGTGGTATTTTTGTTTAAGGTGGTTCTTTGTGTTTAATATGGCATATCGATGATACTTCAGTATGCTGTAACAATTATTTCCCAGCAACCAGCAATGCTACTGAACACCAGTAGATGGCAGAGCAAATTAATTTGTAATTCATTATGTATAATTTTGCATTGTAGTTTTATCATTTTATTTTGTTATGACTCTGTACTTTCCATTTCAGCCCATTCCATATTGGTTGTACAAGCTGCATGGTTTGAACATCAACTATAATTGTGAAATCTGTGGAAATTATACATACAGAGGACCCAAAGCATTCCAGCGCCATTTTGCTGTAAGAATAATGACTTGAACTTCATATGTAAACTTTTTAACCTCTGTAAATACCTCTGTAGGGATGTTTTTAAACTGGTTATATTTTCCTTCTTCTGGACTGTGTACTAATTCCTAGACAAGGGACTAACAATTATGATTTCTTAATTAGTGATATACCGAGGCATTCTGGGCCATGCAGACCTCTTCCCCTGACACCTTGGGAAACTTCTGCTTGTTGCACCTCAAATGGAGAATTGCACATCTAGGATCTTAATGCTTTTATTCTTAAGGTGACAGTCTACCTGAATTGTAATTTTCCTTATTGCCTTTCCTTAAACAACGTTGCATTTAGAACTGAGAGGCTAAGGGGAAAACAAATTGCTTTTAGACTCTGTGCATGTGTTCTAAAGCTGTGTGGGAGTGATTTCAGTCCACACTTCCTGTAACAACGTGGCAAAAATTGGCAAATCAATCATATGGAGGTTGCATTAATTAATTCGTGGGCATGTTCTGTCATGAGCTCAGGCAAAGTAGACTCATGGGAAGGTGCCTGGTCTCTGCTTTGCAGTTACGTGGAGCTCCATCAGTCTACTCTTGATAGACAGTAAAGTAAGGATATGTGTTGACAACAGTTTTATCGAGCAGCACTGGCTCAGCAATAGCATGCTTGCTGATGCTTAGTTTGAGTTCTGCCAGGAATTTAGCTCTTTTGTCCATATTTGAACAAAGACTAGTTCAAATATGGACAAAAGAGCTAAATTCCAGAGGTGAGAGTGACTACCCTTGACATACTAGCTGCATTTTACCCTTCCTATTCATCATAGAATCCCTACAGCGTGGAAACAGGCCCTCCGGGCTTAAATTTATCTTTTTTTTTTAAACCGTGCAAGGTGAAGTAGATTCACCACCAATCAAGGGCTTACTGCCCTTGAACAAAAACAAAGTTGCTGGAAAGCTCAGCCAGTCTGGCAGCATCTGTGAAGGAAAAAACAGAGTTAACGTTTCGGGTCCAGTGACCCTTCCTGAGAATTGATGGTGGCTGGGAAAACGTCAGTTTATATGCAGAAAAAGGGGAGGGGAATGGGGTAGGGAGTAAACAATATGATAGAGCCTAAAGAGAGAGAAGAGCAGTTGGAAGACAAAGTTGATAACGATTAGCCTGGGAGGGTGAATAGTTGTTAGTGGGGACTATTAGGGACTAATAACAGGTAGTGTGTAGTCATTGATAGTCCCCTTTGGCCCAACAAGTCCACACTGACCCTTGGAGAATCCCACCCAGACCCATCCCCCTATAACCCACCTAAGCTACACACCCCTGAACACTAAGGGCAATTTAGCATGGCCTATCCACCTAACCTGCACATCTTTGGACTGTGGGAGGAAACCAGAGCACCTGGAGGAAACCAACACAGACATGGGGAGAATGTGCAAACTCCACATTTGCCCGAGGGTGGAATTGAACCCGGGTCCCTGGCTCTGTGAGGTAGCAGTGCTAACCACTGAGCCACCATGCCGTCTAATAGACTTGTGGTCATCATTAGATTCTTAATTCCAGATTTTTCATTGAATCTAAATTTCTCCACCTGCCGTGGCATGATTCGAACCCAGGTCCACAGGATGTTACCTGGGTCTTTAGATTAATAGTCTAGCAACATTACCACTAGGCCATCCAGATGCCTTTTACATGTTGTAGTTGTACCAGCCTCCACTACTTCCTCTGGCAGCTCATTCTATGCATGCGTCACTCTTTGCATCAAAGAATTGTGGGAGGCGATTGGGGAGTTGGGGTGGGTGGTGGGGGATGTCTTCTTGTTGAAGTCATGCCTAGCATAAAGTCAGATGGTTGTAGTTGTTTGAACTGAATTATCTGAACCCCAAGACGTCTCTGCAGATGTTGGACTGTTACAAATCTAACCCCATTATTCAATATAGGAAGCAGAAATAAAGCAAAATTAGGTTAATTAGCTTAACATCAATAGTAAGGAGAATGCTAGACCCTAATACAAAAAAAAACTTAATAAAAGAACACTTGGAAAGCCTTAAAGCGGTTAGATAAAGTCAGCATAGGTTTATGAACAGGAAATCATGCTTAACTTATCTACTAGAACTGTAATTAGTAGAATGGATTAGCAGAGAACCCATAGATGTGTATTTGGATTTGTTAAGGTTAACAGGCTAAGGGACAAACCTAAAGTACACAAGATTGGGGTAATATACTAGTATGGATTGAAAATTGGTTACAGACCTGAAGCAGAGCGAGAATAAATTGGTCTTTTGATGGGTGACCGGCTGTGTCTTGTCATGTCCCAGAGGAATCAGTGCTTGGGCCCCAGCTATTCACAATATCCATAAATGACTTCACGTCGAAATGCGGTGTTGGGTTGGGGTGGAACAAAGTCAGAAGATATACGATACCAGGTTATAGTCCAACACATTTATTTAAAATCGCAAGTTTTCAGAGTGTTGCTCCTTTGTCAGGTGAAGTGACAGTTACCTGATAAAGAAGCAGCACTCTGAAAGCTTCTGATTTTAAATAAACCTGTTGGACTATAACCTGGTGTCTTGTGACTTCTGACTTATGAATGATTTAGATGAGGGAATCAAATGCAATGTTTCCAAATTTACTGATGGCACAAAACTAAGTGAGATTGTAACTTGTTAGGAGGGTACAAGGAGGCCTCAGGATGATCTAAACGAGTTGTGTGTGGGCCACAAATGGCTTATGCAGTATAATGTGGATAAATGTGAAGTTTTACATTTTTGTTGTGAAAATCCAAAAGGCAGAGTATTATTTGAATAGTGATACATTGGGAAAAATGGATGTACAAATGGATCTCAATGTCCTTGTACACCAGTCAATGGAAGTGAACGGGTAGCAAGCAATTTGGAAGGGACAGTGTTGGCTTTCACTGTTACGAGGATTGACTCTAGAATAGGGATGTTTTATTGCAGTTATACAAGGCCTTGGTGAGACCACACCTGGAGTATCGTATGTAGTTTTGGTCTCCCTACCTAAGAGTTGATATACTTATCATTGAGTGCAGCAAAGTTCATTAGGCTGATACTGGGAATTTTTCATATTAAAGGCAACAAGGCATGTGGAGAGAAAGTGGAATAATGATTTAAGATAGTGGATTGACCACAATCATGTTGAATGATAGAGTAGGCTCAAAGGGCCAAATGACATTCTCCTGTTAAAGTTTTGCTGTAGCTTACAGCAGTGACCTAGGCCCAGCCATCTGCAGCTGCTTCATCAATGACCTTCCCTCCATCCTAAGGTCATTGATGATTGCACAATTGTCAGTATCATTCACGACTCCCCAGACATTGAAGCAGTCTGTTTCCAAATGTAGTAACACCTGGACAGTATCCAACTTTGGGCTGACAAAGTGGCAAATAACATTCATGCTGTACAGTATCGAGCAATGACAGTATCTAACAAAGGAGATTCTAACCATCACTCTTTAACATTCAATGAGATTGCCAACACTGAATCGCCCACTGCAACCTGGGAGCTACCATTGACCAAAGAACTGTGCTAACTATGTAAGGACTTTAGCTGCAAGATGCTAGGAATCCTGCAGTGAATAACTCCCCTCTTGATGCCCAAAAGCCTGTCCACCATCTACAAGATACAAGTAAGGGGTGTGATGGAATACTCCCTACTTGCCTGAATGATTGCAGCTCCAATGAGACTCGAAGTTTGACACTTTCCAAGATAAAGCAGCCCACATAATTGGCACCAGATCCACAACACCAATGCACAGTAGCAGCAATGCATACATCTACAATATGCACTGCTAAAAATTCACCACAGTTCCATAGACAGTACCTTACAAACCCATAAATATGTCTAGCTAGAATGACAAGGGCAGCAGATATATGGCAACACCACCAGCTGCAAGTTCCCTTCCAAGCCATTCACTATACTGACTTGCAAATATGTTGCTGTTCCTTCACTGTCGCTGGGTCAAAATCTGAAGTGCTCTCCCTCATGGCATCGTGGGTCTACCTGTAGCACAAGTACAAAGCAGTTCAACGAGGCAGCTCACCACCATCACCTTCTCAAGGCAACTAGGGATGGATAATGAAAGCTGGCCCAGCTGACAATGTCCGTATTCCCGTGAATGAATTTTCTTAAAAATCTGAGATCAAGAAATCTTGGCTGCAAGGATCACAAAGATGTGGGCATGCTGTACCTCTCAATGGTGCATTAGCACAGTCTGATTTCTGATATCAGTGACACTGCTATTGATATGATTGAATAAATTGTTATCACAGCCAGCTGCTGTTCAGTAAATGGCATGCTATTAGATAGTTTTAGGTTTGCTTAAGTTTCCTCTATTACTTACTGTAAATGTGGATCTTCTTGTACAACTTTTAGGAATGGCGCCATGCTCATGGCATGAGGTGTCTTGGAATCCCTAACACAGCACATTTCGCAAATGTCACCCAAATTGAGGATGCTGTATCCTGTAAGTATTCTTCTATTAAATTCAGGTTTAATCACAGTGTAAACCTTCACTAGTCCAAAGCATTTCCTAGAATGATTATTAATAATTCATTACCGCTTTCACTGGTTGTATATATCCTATATAGCCACCAATATCAGACAAATGATACTGAGCCTTTGTCATTACAGAGGCATTGCTTCAAATGTGTGGAGTGTTTAGTGATTTTGTGCAGTTCAGTATTTTACCCAAAGTTAACAGACCTTTTAAATTGTAATGTGTTAACAATTACACAAGATTTATTACTTTCTGTAGCCAATTATAGTTTTAACATCCAACATCCATAATGGGCAGATAATTTTAGCAAGGATGCAGCTGTGAAACACAAAGCCTATTTTAAACCAAAGGAATGCTGGAAATATGCAGCAGATCCATCAGCATCTAAAATGAAAAGGCAAGTTAATGATTCACGTTGCTTATTATTACATCTATCCATTTGTTCTGTCGAATATTGATTTTCCAAGTATCACCAGTTATAAAACAAGTTTCAGAAAGAAATGTAACTTTGGCCCTTTACAATCATTTCAGATTGTTGAGAAGATGTTTTATATTTGTCTAAGCCAATAGCCAACAACAAAGTTTATCCTACAAACATCATTTTTAATTTTCTGCTTTTTCAACCACCCAAAAAAGGAAAAAGTGACAAGCAGCTTCTTAAAACTTTTTGTTAGAAAATATAAAAGTAATATAGTATTTCAAAAATGTGCTCTAGATACTAAGGGAAGTAAATCTACTGTCTAATCCATTTTCTATCTTAAGTCCTAAACTCCTGAAAATAAATAAATTTGAGAAATTGGAGGATTTGCAACAGGGGAATTGTATATTTTAAGAATTACTAAATAATTTAGTTTCATCCCTTCAACAAAGTTCATTTGTGGTCCATCTTTCTCCTACCTTTTGCTCTGCAATTTTGTATTCCTGCATGCAGCATCATTGACAGATAAAAGTTCACATCCCTTTCTAATTAATGCAAAGTCTCTGAAATCACTAAATTGTAGTAGCAATGACTGAAATGTTCGTCTTAGATTTGTTCATGTGGGACAGTGCATCTCACCAAAGTAAGCCATGTTTTGAAATGCTGCTGCACAGTCATAAGACTTTCCTCTTCACTTCACTTCTTTTTAAACATTCATTTCACTGGGGTTCTTGTATTCCCTGGTGGGGTAAGCATTGTGTAACATGGGTACTGAGCTTCTTGAAACAGGAAAGTTGATGGTTAAATCCATACTCTGCTGATTTAACAGATCATAGCAATTGAGATCTTGTAACTGGCAGTGCTAGCCCACTTTGAGGCAAAACGATGGTTGTGATTTCAGCTTCAAGTTGTTCTACATTTGTATTGTTTGCATATAAAGGCATTCTTCATAGGTAGGCTCCTTGTAGGGTGACTGCGTAAACAAACTTCCATGTCTGTTGAGTGAAATTTTTGTGATTCTAATATTAAAAGTTATATTCCAAGCTTCTAAACTCTTTTCATGAACATTGGCTGATGTTTGATTTCAAAAGTCAATTACATTGTCTTTTTCAAAAAAAAGCTAACCCTCCCTGCTTACTCCTTGTGTTCTAATCCTAATTTCTATTTGCTATTTTGATTCTTCACTTTGGTACACCCAGAATGGTACATGCATTCAAGTAAAAAATTGCAGAATTTCTTATTTCGTTTAGTTCTCAAACCATCAGCCATCTGTTTTTGATGTAGTTCTAAAATCCAGCTTCTCCATTTTTCTGTTGTTATTTCTGCTACCTAAACAGTGGCAGAGTACAAAACACATAAATTTCACAGTGAAGATCCGTGATCAGGGCAGCCATGTTGAAAGCTAGTCAGAGGATCAGCCTTAAGTAAACACAGTGGATTCATTTGTTCGTTTTTGGGTGAATATGAGATTCTCTACTGAAACAATAACAATGCTAATTTTATTTGCTTGCCAGTGATTAATTAGAACCAAAGTGCTACCTGTTCCAATACCATTTTTAATTTTACCTTTTAAATCAAAAAACAAGTTGGATGTATTTGAACAAGCTTTGACTCAGACAATTTGAATTTTCTGTGACTGGCCTAGCTTAAATAATTCACGCTACTGTCCTATTTGGACAAGAACAATAATAACTTTCTTTTTCCAATTAGTGTGGGCGAAACTGAAGCATTCAAAGGCAGCAGAGAGATGGCAGCCAGACACAGAGGTAATTTTATGTAAATGAGCTATTTGAGGTGTGAATGAAGCATATTACTTAATGCATCCTACTTGCTGCTAGTTGTGTTTTCAAAGTGGTTGAGGATGGCCCAGTATCGCATCATGTAACCATGCAACCAGGAGAACTCAAAACTGTATAGTAGAAATTCATGATGTACACTCATTCCTCATTATCCACGAGCGAAGGGCCACAGATCTCCCTCTGATAACAAATGTGGATACCATGAAGACCTTCTCCTGTATACCCAATACATCTCCCAATTGCCCCATGATGTGGTAAAATCATTAATATGCACTAGTAAACACATTGATGTTTAAATACCTAAAAGGAATATTAGTTAACAAAGAAATTTTTAAAGTAGCATTAGAATGTGCATACATTTAATAAAGTAACCCTGAGAAAGAGGTGCTAAAAAATTACATACAGTATGGTATGCTCATAATGATTGTGATGTTGACAGCAAGACAGGTAAATCTGGTGATGAAGGTGAAGTTAAGGCTGATATTTAACAGCCAACAGCTGTTTGACCTATGAGACTGAGACCGAGAACAAGATATTCTTCTGGCTTTGTGACTGGTATGGTTTTTGTAAACAATATCGTTTTGGGGAGATGTGATGCCTTTTTCTTTCTTTTAATTCTCAATGAGCACATTGTACAGTTCAGTTGAAACTATATGTATGAATACACTTGTGCAGAGGAATACATCTGTACGTACTCCAGCTCTTTTGGAGGTGTTTCAAAGCCTCTGGAAAAAAATTGGGATTGGTTCTGGGGCTAATCTTACAAGGACACAGATTGCAGGTAGCAAATCAACAGATAACAAGGACTCATTTTTAGTCAGCTTCTGAAAAAGACATGGTCATTACTTGTTTTATTGGATAGACCTTTGTAGCACAGATCAAAATCCAGACATGGAAGACATTAGTATAGATATCCTAACTGCTGTTACAATGAAACAATTAATGGGGTTAAGACCCAATAATTAGATCTTGAAGTACATTGGAGGGCATTGGAAAGACGAAAGGTGAAGCTGGGAAATGTGAACCGGTTATTCAAATAATTTGTGCCCTTATTTGGGGGACTTCGTTGCAATGTTTGAATGTTCTACTAAAGAATTCAGGCTATATTTATCCTTCAGTGAAACATCATGCCTGCCATTTGATAACTAGCTCATAATAGAAAGGGCAGTTACTTTTTCATAATTCTAGGTATTTTTGAATCAACTTTTTGAGTTTACATTATATATCTTTTGAGCAGTTGGGACTTGAAAGAAGTAGTGACACTACCACTGTACAAGGCCCCTTTTATACAATTATGTAAATTCCCAATTCTCAATATTTCCTCAACAACATTCAGAATAGTCACAATATCATGTAACATGTACAGTACAATGCCTGTTTTAGCTGAGAGATTTGTTGTCAATGGTTGGCTGGTTTCGCTGCAATCAGTGTCAGCCTATTCTAGCTATCTTTACTAATTAGGAAACTGTAGGCACTTTTATAATTTCCTGGCAATATAATTTCTGAATAGTAACCAGTCTGAGAAGTCATCTGTTTACAAAACCCACTTATTCAAAAAATGTCACATCCTCCAACCCTGTTGTGTTATGAATGCAGCTGCAGTAAATTCAGCTGTTCATACTTATTTAGCTTACCACCTTATTTTTGAATCTAGTTCACCATTTATGTTTGGTATTTGCTATAGGAAGCATTTCCTACTTTGATGCTCATTCAGGTTCTAATTTACATTAGTATTTGTGATTTTGAGCTCTCACCTTTTGAATGGCCTGAGCTATTTGAAATACCAGTTGTTCCTAACTTTTACTCAATCAGTTTTATTCAGATGGGCTGATGTACGCTTTGTTGATCCTTGGTAATTGAATTGATCCTCACTAATTTTTATGACTAGAAGTTTCTGAAAATTTTACAAGAATTGCTCATTGGCAATCCGCCAACTCAGTGGACTGCACAGTGGTTCACAGTGCCAGCAACCTAGATTTGATTCCAGCCTTGGGTGACTGTCTCCCGGTTTCCTTCCACAGCCCAGAGATGTGCAGTTTAGGTGGATTGGCCATGCTAAATTGCCTCATATTGTCCAAGGGTGTGCAGGCCATGGATAATTTGGGTTTATGAGGATAGGGTGGGGAGTGTCTGGGTGGGTGTTCTTCAGAAAGTCAGTGCAGACTTGATGGCCCAAATAGCTTCTGCCTGCACTGTATAGATTCTATGATTGGGTCTTAGAAAACTAGTGGAAAAAGTTTGCATTTGTAGCTTCATAACTAAACCACAATCTGCGTTTTTCCTGCATGTATTCGTGTCTGTAGCCACTTTCATTCAGCATTTACTTGGGCTTTGGGAAATTGGAATTGACCAGCTTCGGGTAACAGGGCAACTATGTGGCCCACTCAGAGTCTCGTGTTTTTTTTTAACATTTGCACCAAGTCCTGTTTCTCAATGTGTCAAAACATTATTTATATTTGAATGTAAAATATGGTGAAGTAAAAAGTAGTTTTAAAAGCCTTGCATTTGATATTGTTCCTTTTGATGTCCTTGGAATGTCCCCAAATGCTGTACAGTCAAGGTGGCACTTTTCCGGTATGATCGTGGTTATATTTATAGACAAGTGAAGCAGGTAATTTGCAAGCACCTGTAAAGAGCAGTTAGGTGGATGGCTAGTCAATCTGGCTGTGATGTTGGTTGAGACCTCAAATGTTTGCCCAGACACCAGGAAAGTTTGCCTTGCTCTTTCTCACATCGAGCTGTGACATCTCTTGCGTCAATTTGGGACCTTGGTTTGACATCTCACCCAAACAATAACCCTTGAAAAAGTGAGCTATCAAGGAAGTGCTAGAGATAGTAGGAACTGCAGATGCTGGAGAATCCGAGACAACAAGGTGCAGGGCTGGATGAACACAGCAGGCAAGCAGCATCATAGGAGCAGAGAGGCTGACGTTTCGGGCCTAGATTCATCAGAAGTGCTAGCATTTGTTATGTAATCAACCCATTGATTGAGAGTGGGAGTTGACTTTTGGCACTAAATAAAAACCGAAAGAACTGCGGATGCTGTACATCAGAAACAAAAGCAAACTTTCTGGAAAAGCTCAGCAGGTCTGGCAGCATCTGTGAAGGAAAAAACGGAGTTAACATTTCAGGTCCAGTGATCCTTCCTCAGAACTGATGGTGGCTGAGAAAATGTTAGTTTATATGCAGAAAAAAGGGGAGGGGAATGGGGTAGGGAGTATACAATAGGATAGGGCCTAAAGAGAGAGAAGAGCAGTTGGATAGACAAAGAGTTGATAACGATCAGGCTGGGAGGGTGAATAGTTGTTAATGGGGACTATTAGTGACTAATGACAGTCACTAATGTAGTCACTAATAGTCCCCATTAACAACAATTCACCCTCCCAGGCTAATTGTTATCAACTCTTTGTCTATCCAACTGCTCTTCTCTTTCTTTAGGCTCTGTCCTATCGTTTACTCTCTACCCCATTCCCTTCCCCTTTTTTCTGCATATAAATTGATGTTTTCCCAGCCACCGTCAGTTCTGAGGAAGGATCACTGGACCTGAAACGTTAACTCTGTTTTTTCCTTCACAGATGCTGCCAGACCGGCTGAGCTTTTCCAGCAACTTTGTTTTTGTTCCTGACTTTTGACACTGGTTAGTGCCAACAACTGAGTCGAATTCTGAGAGTGTGATTATAGGTTCAGTGATTCTTTCATGGTCCAAAATAGTATTGAACTTGTTTTCTTTTAAAGTATTATATAAATTTGGTTCCGAAATGTGAAATTTGGCTTGCAATCTCAATAACTGTTTTGAGAATAAAAGCAGAATGCTTTCAGCAAGACAGTGTTTTAACTAGTTACTTGTATTCTTACATTACAGGAAGAATATGAAGACTCAAGTGGAAATGTAGTTAATAAGAAAACCTATGAAGATTTGAAACGACAAGGGTTGCTGTAAACTGTATTGAACATGAACTTTATTTCATTCTCCAATAGTAGTTATCATTCAAAGATACTTTGTTTACGTTCTCCCTCTCATTAATAGAAGGACTGTGTCTCGTACTGTCCAATGTCTTTATTGAACTCAAAAGGCTGTAAAAATGTGATGTCTGACAAATTTGCATAATTTTGTGTCTGATGGCAACATTAACTTTGCAAAAGTGGTACATTTCATAATGTTTTGTGGATTTTGCTTTATATCTCTAAAAATAGGTATGGAAGATCATTTCTATTCTGACCAGGAAAATAGAAACCCTTGGTGGTAGTACAGGTCTCTTGTTAGTGGACATGAGACATTTAAGATTAGGCTTAAATTTGATGAACAATATAATTTATAGTAAGCAATATTCTTTGTTTAAAAACAAGTTCTGTTATCCTGTACTTTTATTGTCACCTTGCCACAAATTTCTGTATTTGACATTTTCTTCACAAATTTAATAAAGAAAAATTGTGATTTTTATTATCTTCAGATCTGATTTTAAACTTTTTCTTTTGCAACATTTTATTTGAAGCAAGGGGCAAGATTTAACTGGGTACAGAATTTGATGACCATATAATGGTAAATGAATGTTCTGCTTGGGTGTAAATAATATGGTGATTTATGGGAAGAATACATCCTGAGTTGTACATCGCTGGCCATTTTGCATTCCTCTATGGTGATAGCATCATAGCTTCCTGCTACACCACAGCTATTTACTGAGCCTGTCAGACCCACGCTAACTCCTTGCAAGAGCTAGTCTCACTCCCTTGCCCTTCTCCCATAGCCTTGCAGTTTTTTTCCCACTTTTTAAGTGCAAATCTAATTCCCAATGTAGAGTACAATCGAACCTCCCAAAAACAACCTTTTAGCAGGTGCATTCTGGATATTAACCACTTACCACAATAAAAAAAAGTTCTCCCCCAGTCACCGTTTGGTTATGTTGCCAAAACTGTGCACTCAGGTTTTCAATCCTTCTGCCATTGATAATAATTTTCTCCATATACTGTGTCAAGAAATCTCAAGATTTACAAAACATCAATCGGATTTTCTCTCGTTAGCCTCGTGAAAGTGGGAGCTTGCCACTTACTTTACCATGAGTTCCAAGAAATTGTTAAATTTATTCTATTAAAACAAACTTGCCACCTAATGTCAGGGTTGGTGCACAACAACCTAAGGGCCCTTGAGAAGGATGGCAATTCATTCTTGAAATAACACTTCCAACCCAGAGAATAACATAGGAGTAGGTTTAGACTGTTTAGCAGCTTTATCCTGTTCTGTTACTCTAGATTATCGTTCATCATCTACCTCAACAATGTTTTCCTGCACAATCCCCCATCTACCTTGATGTTATTAATATCTAGAAATCTATCAATCTCTCAAACATTCTTAATAGCGGAGATTTCACTGCCCTCTGGAGTGTGGAATTCCAATGATCCACTGAACTTAATGAAGCAATTCCTCCTCATCTCTGCCCTTAATGGCTTACCCTTATTTTGATATTGTGCATAGTTCAAAATTCTTCCATGCCCCAAAAACCTGCCTACCAGGGGAAGCATCTTTCCCGTATCTAACCTGTTTAACACTTTAAAAATATTTTTAAAGTTCCAAGGGGGTGAATCTTGCAATATTTTGACTGTGTCAGTTTTGCTAAATTTCACAAAAGGTTTCTCTCCATGAAGCCTGGCAAGATTTCTCACTACATTGACCCAAACTCATCTCATTACCTACACCTCCCCATGGTGCCCCCTTTGTCCAATGATTAGACTGACCGTACCACTCAACCATAGCCATAACAACTTGTCACTCAGCAGATATCCTGGAATTGACTGATTCAACTTCCGTCCATAATACTGCACACCTGGTCAAGCGTTGGCTGTCTAGAGTTACCCTGCACGCTTTGTGACCTTTTTGCCGGATGTGGCAGGCAGGAGAAGATTGATGCCCTGCTTTGGAGATGGGATCCTAGCGTTTCTGGTTGATGGGAACATACAGACGAAGGAAGTCTTTTTCCCCAGTGCTGGCAGAGGAGGCCACACCATTATACCCTGTAGCATCTTCAAAGGTCACCATCAGGGTCAGCATGGACCCCCTGGGGTCTGGAGAAAAGTTGAATGAAGGTCAGTGACAACTTCTGCACTGCCAGGATAGGTTGTACTGTCTGCTACTTCACAATAGGCTCTCACTATTGCCTATAACATGTCCCTGCCCACCTCCAAACTATTCAACACCTTCACAGCACTGGCAGCAATATCTTTGTAATTTCTTTGCTACTTTATGAGAATCTCTGAGATTCGTGAATGGCAGTAGTTTCTGCAGAACCCATTCATCATCATGCCTATCATGTGCGAGAGCATCCCTGCAATCATGTTAGAAATGGAGTTCTGATGAAGAAATGGAGACATCCTCACAGACAAAGAATGGATAGCTGTTCACCAAATAATGGTACCACCCAGATATCATAAGGCTTGTTACAGGTAGTACATGAAGTTGCTTTGGTAGGATGTATCGGAATATGGAGGACGCAATGGCAAACGGTAAGCTGGACGGGATTAATGATGACACGACGTTCCTTCTTGTGGGAGCTGGAACTAGGGGACACAGTTTAAAAATAAGCTTGGTTAAAGTTGAGGTAAGAAGAAACTTTGCATAACAGGGAGTGATGAGATTTTGGAATTCTCTTTCCCCAGAGTGTAGTGGAGACAAGGTCATTGAATAGTTTTTAAGGAGGTAGGTGAATTCTTGACTTACAAGCGTATCAAGCGGTGACCGGGATTTTGTCACAATGTGGAGTTGTGGACACAAATTGCCCCGCTCATATTGAATGGCAGACCAGGCTGGAGGAGCTGAATGGCCTATCCTTAGTTTGTACATATGTTCTAAAACTATCATTCCATTCTTTAATTCCTTCTCTTTCTGGAGTCTAATTCATCCCTGTACTTTTTCTGTAGTTTGCAGTGTTTCTTTTTCTATCTCTTTAAGGAGATCTAAGGGTTCAGGAGATAGATTGCTGGTCCAGTCATTCACTTCTTATGGTCTCTCCCCTCAATCTTCACTTCCAGCAATTTGCAACGCATTTTTCAAGCTGCAGAATGTGACATTCCACTGAAGCAATCGCTGGCCCATCGTAATAGATTATTCATTAACTTTTCATTTCAAATGAAAATAAAATTTAAATTGAAGAAATAGACTACGCTTGCATATCAAGAGTATGAAATATAAACGTGGAAAAGTGTGGAAATCTGAAATCCAATGAGAAATACGCAGCAGGGTAAAATATAAAATACAACTGCAAATGTCTAACTGTATGGCTGGGGTTGAGGGATATGGGGACAGGGTGAGTGTGGAGGTTTTTGATCTGGAAAACCCATCACCTCCCAAAGCTCTGCCACTCACTGATTTGAGTTAGGTACAGAGAAGGTCAAAGCCAACCTTCCCACCCCAGGACAGCTGAGATCCCTGCAATGACTTTGCAAGGCCCTCATCCTGCTGTCCCTGGTAACCTCCCATCGGTTTGGGGCGTAGTGGGGGGAGAGGTTCTGGGTTGTGCAGGTTGCAATGCCTAAAGCCTGGCTGGTTGGTGGTAGACCCACTGTCACACCTATTAAATTGAACCCCAGTGTCCAAAAGGAAAAAATAAATGGTTCGAGTGCAACTAACCTTTCATTATCAGAGCAGATCTATCTACAGTGAATTTCTAACACACAAAGAGCATAAATATATTTTGGAAGATCGTATAGGGTATCAAGGGGAAAAAAAGTGCAAAGTGTTACTTTATATTGCGGTATTTGAAGCTGGTATGTTTTCTGTCGATACCCATGGAAGGCGATTTCATTATTTTTATAAATGTTGTGATATAGTTGCACAGTAGCCAGTTCATCTAGTAATAATGCTCCCAAAGTACCCTTGGGGAGAGCAAAGCATCATATGATCAATTACTTTTTGATTGTAATGGAGGAGATTCATAAAATGGACATGCCTCGTAGTATTGGCAAAGTGTGGGGCTTTTTTTTATTCTTTTAAAATTGCAGTGTTCAGCAATTTATTTATGCTGAGACTTATTGTTCCAGTAGGCAGTGGATGTGCTAAGAATATAATTAAAGCACCATTGACCAAAAACTGTTGGACTCTGGGGTTTGCACTATTACAATTACAAAAGTTGTGTCAGCGCAAAGTAGGCATGTTATTGACTCTGCAAACTCTGTATAATGATATAAGAATCATTCTCCACACTTGCTTACCAAAAAAGGAAAGAATGCAGCCCCACAATGATTAACCTTTGAGTCTGTGCTGTGCTTTTTCAGTGGAAGCAGCTGTAGGATCAGGCCAATCAATTACTTCCCTAAAGAAATAACACTGGAAACATTGACTCATCTGGTGCCGCTAAGGAAGTAATGAGTGCTGTCCTTTCTTCTTCCACCAAATTAAAAAAAGCCTTACATTTATTGACATTTTCTAATCCACCTGTTCAGAGATGGTATAAAATACCTCTGAAACAGGTGGGACTTGAACCCAGGACTCCTGAATTAGAGGTACGGAACATAGCCAGTACCATATGAACTCCCGTGGTGTGCATTTATGTGGTAACTTCCAAATATCTCAGCGTATCCCAAAGCACTTTACACCAATGAAGCACTTTTAAAATGCAGACATCAGTAATAAGGAAAAAAGGACTGTCAATTTGCACACAGCAAGTTCCTGTGATGTTGAGGGATAAATTTTGACCAGAACAATGGGAATAACTCCTCAGCTCTTCTGTAAAATAATGCCATGGGACATTTTACCTCCACCTGAAAGGGAAGAAATGGTCTCGTTCTAAAGTCTTATCTGTAAGAGGGCACCTCTGATAGTGCAACACTCTCTCAGTACTGCACTATTTTTTGGACTTTTCTGCCTTTGAGCCTTTTGCCTTCTGAGAGTTGAAATTGTTGTGCACTAAAGTGAGCATTTATGCACAAACATTTTGTCAAATTTCTTGAAGACTATTGACAGAATGGGTGCTGTTCCTTTGTGAAGCATTATTGCAACCTTATTTCATACTGGTAACAGTTGACACAAGGCTGAATTTTGACACAAACTTGGGAATCCAACATGAGAGTTATTTCCGATTGATTTATTGGGAAGTGGACAAGGTCAGTATTCGTTGCCCATCCCTAAATGCTCTTGAGAGGATGTAGTGAGCAGCCAGCTTGAACTGTTACAGTCCACTTGGTGAGAGTACATCTAGAATGGTTTTCAGAGGGACTTCTAGGATTTTGATCCAACAATAGCAAAGGAACATCGAGAGAATTTCAAGTCAAGATAGTTTGTGACTTAAAGGAGAATGTGCAGAATGGTGGTGTTTCACGTACATTTGCTGCCTTGATTTTCCAGGTGGTTCAGTAGGTATTAGAGAAGGAGCCTTGGTGAATTGCTACAGTACATCTTGCATGTAGTATATATGACTGCCAATGTGCACTTGTCTGGTGGGAGTGAATGTTTAAGTTGGATGG